TGTGAGTAATGTGTCTACTGTGCTCTCATTGTTAATTGAATGCTGGTTTCTATGAACTCCATAAAATATTACATTATTGTAACCACATATTTAACACGTGCAGTGGTTTCCGCGGTATCTATGATGTTGAGCATTTTATAAAGTCATTGAGGTATGATGTAAAAATTGTGGAAAAAATACCAGAAATTCGCGAAAATGGGAAGACCAAGAAGATAAAAGCTGTACAGGTAAAACATCCGTATATGTTTTCATCGCATTCATAATCAGAAATCAATGTGAGTTCTTTAATAGGTTCAAAATGTTTACTTCTCTTCCTCTAAACCTTGTCTCAGCTTCGTCCCCCTAGAGATGCTCCTATCAGTTGGTATACTACAGACGCTCTTGTGAAAATGAAGGAGCATGGTGCTATTTATCTTACTCCATTTTCACATCGTTTGGCAGAAGAAATTGACAACCCTGAGTATCAACGGTTGAGGTGTAGAGTTAACTATCATGCTTTGAGGTTTAAGACAAATATTATGAAGTTAAGTCAATCAATAGTAGATAAGCTTCGCACACAAGGTCGCTTCATGTCCATACATCTTCGTTTTGAGATGGATATGCTGGCATTTGCTGGGTACGTTCTAACTATTTTGCGAAGTTCTCATTTGCATGTGCATGTTGGGGGGGATAGGTCAGATGTAAAATAATTAGTTGATTTTGTTGCATATGGTGAGATATCTGCTTACAAGACAAAAATATGATAGAAGTGAAAAATCAAAGCAAATCACACATATTCACATATATAAATACGCTTGTGTACAAACACATGCGTTGCGCTAAATTAAGTCAAGCATTTGAAGGTACTTTTGTAAAACATTTAGGGTGAGGGGGCCATAGTTTCCAGCACAACTATTGCCCTGAGTGACGTAGGATATAGATTGCTTTGATACTACTGATGTAGAACAAGGAGAGAACAGAAGTAAAAGAAAAAACTGACCAGTAATGTAGCACAACAAATTGAACTTTAATCTTTTAGTTTAGTATCAATAGGCCAAAACTAAGATTCCAAGCACAAGAGTGACCTATCTATATAGTCACTTAAGGTAAGTTCCTGGCGGAATTCTTACATAAAATGAGGAATGACTAGAGTGTTCTCCTTTACATCATGCCAAGAATTCTCGTATTTCATAGCCACTAGATAGACAAGGTGAACAATCTGTTCATATTTTGAAACAGTTCATGAGTTCAGATTTTGAAAAATAATGTTATATGATGACTTCTTAACATCTGGTAAAATTATTTCTGCAGGTGCTTTGATATTTTCAACTCCAAAGAGCAGGAGAGTTTGAAGAAGTATCGAAAAGAAAATTTTGCGCCAAAGAAGCTTGTCTACAAGGAAAGGAGAGCCATTGGAAAATGCCCATTAACTCCAGAAGAGGTAATATTGTCTTTCTTGTTAATGTTTCTTTATCTATCGGTGAAAAAGGTTTTTTGTACTGCCAGTGAGAAAGAGTCAACAAGATTAAGATTATAAGATGGCTGTTACCTTGCATCAGTGTCTTGTTAAGATTTGCTTACCATTTCAAGATAACAGGTAATATATGACATTTCCTATATGAAATCCTAATAAAATTATGCCCCCTTTCAATGCAGGTCGGTCTTATTTTACGTGCAATGGGGTTTAACAATTCTACCAGGATATACTTAGCTGCTGGTGACCTATTTGGTGGGGAGAGATTCATGAAACCTTTTCGGGCTTTGTTCCCTCACCTTGAGAACCACAGTTCTGTAGATCCCTCAGATGAGCTAGCAGAAAACACCCAGGGGTTGTTAGGGTCTGCAGTGGACTACATGGTTTGTCTCCTCTCTGATATTTTTATGCCTACATATGATGGCCCTAGTAACTTTGCAAACAATCTCCTTGGTCACCGCCTTTATTATGGCTTCCGAACCACAATTAGACCCGACAGGAAAGCGCTTGCCCCAATCTTCATTGATCGAGAGAAGGGACGGACAGCAGGTTTTGAAGAAGCTGTTAGGCAAGCCATGTTCAAGACCAACCTTGGTGGGCCCCACAAGCGGATCCCACCTGAGTCTTTCTATACAAATTCTTGGCCAGAATGTTTCTGCCAAACATCTCCACAGAATCCGGCACATAAATGTCCACCAGATAATGTGTTGGAAATTCTTGACAGCAGTTGAGTGAAGCCAAGCCACTGATGGCCTGGAATCCTTGCCTCAAGTCAAATTCAACAATATCTGTGACAGAAAAATGAGAAAGTAGTGTCAGGATTTTTAGCAGGTGATTGTTCCACCACCATACTGATGAATCCCTGTAGGCCATAATGTATAAGGGATGGTTGTGCGTACTCATATTCTGCCTTTCAGGTAACCATTATATCCATACTTATGTTCTGTTTTAAATTTTTCGTATGTCCTCTTCCACAAACATTTCATTATTTTCTTATTTATCACTAGGAAATTTATGGACATTTCATGTTCCTCTTGATCATATAAGTTGGTTCTTCAGTGATTCTGATTTTCTGGGGTTTACACCATGGTGCTTCAATTAGTATATGGACAAAGGAGGCAAGTTTTCACTGATGCAGGGGCTGGAGGACACACGAGCCATGATGGTAGTTTGCAGACGTCTTATGTTGTGATCTGAAAATCTACATCTGATTTGTGATATAGTATGATTTGATTGACTTCCCTGAATGTTTATGACATGTATGGCAAATTATAGTCTATATAGATTTTTCAGTCTTACCTTACCAAAATGCTCTGTTACCATTACATTACCTGGGTTTTGATGCACATGATAGATTTAAGGCTTATTTACACCAATGCCTCATGAAACTAAGGTCAAATCTCACTTTACCATCCCAAATTTAAAGTGGCCCGCTTTCCCCCGTTGACTGTAGTTTGGTGACACACTTTGCATTATACCGTCAACTCCGTCCAAAAGTCTATTAACTTTGATGACGTGGCAGGAGTGTTTTTGTAATTTTGTACACATAGATCATTATCCACCAATTGAGTGTGTGACATGGCAAATGGAGCCCACCTCCACATAGCTAAAAACAAAATTAAATATTCTAATAATTAATAATAATTAATAATGAGAAAAAAAAACATTAAAAAAAATGAAGGGAAATGAATGAAACCCATATGTTTCTTATATTAAAAAAAGAGTAAAGTGCCGGGAAACCCCCCTGAATTATATCACTTGTCAAAATGTCCACCTTGAATTATTTTTTCAGCCAATGTATATTAGATATAGCTTGCATAAGAAAACATAGAAAAAAGCTACATCCTTCTTCCTCTTCCCTCCTATGAAATTCTCTCTTCCTTTTATTTATTTTACTGAGTTTCTAAGCAACATAGTTAGAAAAGTGTTTGTATTCGGGTCCTTCCTCAGTGCAAGGAAGAACCTAGACAAAGGAGATTCTGGGGCTGTTTTATCCTCCTGGGGACGTAGTGGGCTTTTCTGAACTGCTTACACAAATTAGGCAGAGCCGCGAAACGTCTTAAAGAGAACGACTTAGTCTGAATCGTTCATAGCTACATATTGTATTTTCTGAGTAATATTATATCGTTCATAGCTACATATTGTATTTTCCGAGTAATATTATTCTCTTAATTTAATTTATGCACCAACAATTTTAAGACACTCTATCTGCCATAGATGTTGGGAACCAATTTTAAAAGTAGATTTTGGATGCTACTCAAATTTTTTCCATAATCATTCATGTATTTTCCGGCGAGTAACTAATTCCTGCATATTGAAGGACACTGTGGTAGCAGGACAAAATATTTATCTATCTCGTTGGCTAGTGGTTCGATTTTGGCAAGTTTGGCTTTGACAATACCCATGGTTGGTATGAACAGAAGATAAGTGATTTCTACCTCGGTAACTCCTAATAAGCTGCTGGTTTTTCCTTTGAGCTTTTGGAATTGAAATTTTATTTTTATGTTGGCCGTTGAATATCTTGGGGGTTAAGAGCAAAGTTTTCCCAACTATCTTTAAACCACTTAGAGAATGCCCTGCCAGTCATACTTGTCGACTGGAAACAACTATCATGGCTAGTTTGGGGAAGATGGCTGAGCAATGAAACTACACTAGTGCTCGTATCCAAGACCTGTGTGCTGTTCTTCAGGAAAGGTTACCTTTTCCGTTGATGGCTGGTTCGCAAGCCGACCAACATGGACACCTCAAGGGTAAACAACAAGAAAAGAGAGAAAGAAGAGGAAGCCTGAACAACGCCACTTGTATGTATCTGCACACGGAAACCGCAATGCCACCGACAAAAATCATCACCCTACATCAGAAAAATAAAACAGAAAATTAAAACTAAAAGCAGCTAGCATAAACTAAAAAAAAACAAATGACGTTAAGCAATTTTTCAGACTAAGAGCATCCACAGTGATGCTCTCTATTTCTTAGCTAAAATTTGGCTAAGAATATAAGAAAGCTATTTTAGGAGCTCTCTACAAAATTTCAACTCCAACCATACTCCCTAATTTGAAGAGTCATAAATGCTATAACTCTTTTTTGATTGGTCAATCTCTATTAAAAAATAAAATAAAAAATAGTTAGCATTAAATAAAGGTTTGAAATACTCATTAAATAAAGCAGCATTAAATTATATGGAGCAACTAGGAGTTCTTTCTCTCTCCTCAGATTTAGGAGCTCCTAGAAGACTCCCTATTTTAGGAGATGGATAGGGAGCGTGGTTGAAGTTGCATTTTTATCATTCCTCCCTAAAATTTGTCTAAGAAGGTAGTTTAGGGAGCCCATTGTGGATGCTCTAATGAAACTAGAAAAATATGGCTCGACTTTAAAATAAGAAATCGTTGTGACGGTTATCGAGAAATACAATTGCAAAAACAAAAAATAAAAACAAAAAGGTTTTTAAGTTGCACGCGCTTAAGCGCGGAGAGGCTAGTTAGAAGAAAAGGAGAAAGAAGAGAACCCAAACGAACTGCTTTTAACCACCAAGACTTCTACTATCAAATTATCACGCAACTCTCTCTCTCTCTCTCTCTCTCTCTCTCTCTCTCTCTCGGGGACATACAAAATGCAGGTTTCAGGTGTTATTGGCGACGTTTCGTTGGTGATTCCCTCAGGCGGTGGTCTTAGCTGGCCAGAATTCAGACACTTCCATTCGCATACGCTCTCTAACTCCAAGTCATTTCTTTCTGGTGCTTTTTTCAGAGTAAGCTCTTGTCCACTCTCATTCATGTTTTTCTCTCGTGTTTAAGCCTTTGGTTGCTAAACAAGCGTGAGAAATTGAAAGGAATTTTTTAGATTTTAATTAATGATGTTTGGATTTTTTTTTTTTTTAGCCTTTCGTTTCTTTGGGATAGATTGGACACAACCCAGATCAGATATTTTCTTTTACCCTGTTTGGTTGCCTAGAAAGTGTAGGCAAATTTGTGACTGATATACAATTATCTATCTCCACTTGGTTTATTGAAAAGCTATTTCGCGAATAAATTAACAATGATAAAATTTTACTTCCTTAGGAACATATTTTCTTTTTATTTTTTGAAATAAATGGAGCCGTACGTCTTCAGACTGCGTGCGAACTGTTTGTTCATTTGAAGCTAATTCTTCAGTCATTCAATTGTTTGTGCTCCCAATATTTATCAATCAGATTGGGTTTTAGTTTTATTTTTTCTATAATTTATTTAGGTTATGAAGAGTTATCCCTGCAAAAACGTTAGATAAAACTGAAACGAAAATGTGGATAATCAAATGGCTAAATTTTTTTCAATTTAACTGAATTTTTGCATGGATAATCGTTGATAGAAAATCTGAAAACTAAACAGTTCCAGTCATTGGTTTATATCCCAGAAATAGGATGTACATAGTTTAAGGAAAAATAAGGACATCCTTAATACACTCACGTCTTTATGTTTTTTTTTTTCCTTTTGCGCATATGTTGAATTTTGCTCTTTTTGTCAAGATCCTTTTTCTATTGCTTATACTCATCGACTTTGTCAATGTTGTAAACTGATTTATGCCTTTTTATGCCTATGTTCTGTCTTGTCTAGTGCAAAAAAAGAGAGGAAGAGAGAGCAATCTATATACTTAATTTCTTTGCCTGCCAACAGTTTCCTCACTCTTTCTTTCTGGATCTTCTGTTTTTTCTGTTATATTTTTCTTTACCACAGGGTTTATAGATGAATTTACCTGTTCTACATACCATAAACTTACTGAAGAAAAAAACAAAAAGATACCGAATGTACTAAGTAAACCATAATAATCTTACCTAAAAGACTCATGATCTGAGCCATAAACTGAAATGGTTGCCGCAGCATTAACGATAGTTGGGTGGCACCAAAAGACTGCTTCTTCTTCTTTTTTTTCTTTTTTTTTGGCTGGGTGAGAAATTTATAGTTTTGGGTGGTGGAAGGAAGGCTAAAGTATAGTGGGGCCGTATGTTGATGGCTATCATTTAGGCTATTTGGTCGGAAAGAAAACAAAGGATCTTCGAAGATGTTAAGGGTGGAGTAGGTGTGGGAGAAGGTTAATTATTGGGCGGCACTTTGGGCATCTGTTTCTCCTGATTTTAGGAACACTTCTATTTTGGACATTGTTTTAGACTGGAAAGCTGTAGTGTCTTGAATTGTTTTGGTTTGCTAAACTAGTTGTAGAATGAATTATTGTTTTCTCTTGTATATTTATGGTGGAAAGATTATCCATGGTGTTGCACAGCTTCTTTTCTTAAATAAACTTTCCTCTCTTTGTTTCTTTTAAAAAAAGGTTGGGTGGTAGGATTGAATAGGGGAAATCTGAATTGGTGTTTTAAAAAAGGAGAAGTGGAGTAGCTTTGAGTGGATGTGGCTCGGTTTGTTTTTTACTATAAGTGAAGCTGAGTTGCAGATGAGTAAGAAAATACATGCTTAATGCAATGTCATTGGTGAAATAACTGATGGTTGTGAGATATTGTTGTTTTGTTCACAAAATGTTGCACAACTTTGTGATGGTTCATATCTGGGTAAATCTCACATATTTCCTTAAAGCAGGCATTTGATTTCATTAATGCCAGTATTTAAAGCAACTGAAGTGCCAATCGAATGGGAAGAACCAAATAGTATTTAGGGTTTCAAGCAACTATGGGAAAGGTTAGAACCAGTACCCAAAATTGGTGCAGGCTTCAAGAGGTGGCCACACTTACTGGGAAGGGAGGTGGTTAATTTAACCTTAACATTTTCTATTATGATTTAGACCCCCTTCTTTAATCATATCATTCTTCCGACAGACTAAACTTACCAGTAGTCCTGTGAGTCATGAGAACTTATCTTCATAAAGTGGAACTGTTTACTACAGTCTAGGTATCACCGTCGAAAGTTGACAATCTCCTTGAGAAACAAAAATTGAAACATAAACCCGAAGTTGCAAGTGTTTCAAACCCAAATTCCAGCCAATCCCCACATGACAATGTAATTTATTAAAGTTAAGAGTTATTAATAAAGAGAGCAAAGTTTACCTGTGGAAGATACTTGCATTACCCAAACTGGACCAAAAATGGCAAAAGGATCCATGAATAAAACTAGAATGGAAGGAGCAGAAGATGAAAAACAGAGAATAATGACAGATGCATAGACGGGTAGAAAAAAAACTGCTGTCAACTGCCTAGCTGCTAAGGATAAGCATCTGTTTTGCCTTCATTTTGTAACGAAAATTATATATTTGATTGATACGTTGCTCCAGAATTGGCTTTAGAGTATTATTTTTCCCATGTCTTCATTGAATTTGTATCCCCATATATTTACCAATTTCTAATCCTTTTGATTCTATGCATTTGTATCCCCACATGTACTTGCATGGTATCATTTTTATAAGCTAGTTGCCCCAAGATAGGGGCTATTCACCATTATGTATGTCAGTTTCCAAGTAACACTGATTTTCTTGATTTTGGCATTCATTTAATATATGTGTATGTATACGCACTGAATTTGACTGCTGAAATCCAATGAAGAGAGTTGTATGAATATTTCTGCACCGTATTGCCATATCCAGGGTGGGCACTAAGGCAACGTTCTGAATGGTTGGCGCCTTAACAAAATATTTTTCTTTTCTTTTCTTTTCTAGAGCTGTCCTTCATCTTGCATCCCAAAGCTGGGAAACGGACTGCATAAGCGCCGAGCAAGAGGGTTGATTGTGAGAGCATCAAAGGATTCAAGTGATAATTTGGTGCCAGTTGCTCCTCTTCAATTTGAATCCCCCGCCGGCCAGCTTTTGGCCCAAATATTGCAAAATCATCCACATCTACTATCTGCAGCCATTGATCAGCAGCTTGAGAACCTTCAAAAAGATAGAGATGCCCAGAGAAAAGAAACTTCTGCTTCATCTGAAGATCCCCTCTACAAGTAAGTACTGTGATCTCTCAAGAGTAGTTATTTTAGTTTTGTTCTTGAATGGACGGTAATTGGTAAATTTTTACATGTTGAAACAACTCAGAATTTGATGCACACTGATGGAATTGTTTAAAGATCCTCTTTGGACGCCCACCACTAAGCCCATTGCCCCAAATCTAACAGTAAGGCCTTTTTGGTAGTGTAAGAGTCATTTAATTTTAAAATAGTTATAATGTACGTCCAAGAATTAATCTGAGAGTTAATAAGGGTTAATAAGAGTGAACTTATTTGGATCTTAGCTTCAATGTGTTTTAAGATTTCTTGGAGTTCTATTATTTAATGTGACTTAATACTATTTCTCTAGAAATTAAATTATTTAAAAAATGTTAAAAATTGCTAATTCAATTTCAAAGTTAAAAACAAAAGCTGAAAAAAAAATGGAGAGAGAGAGTACATTTGGGGTGGGGGTGTTTGGGTGGCTTAGAGTAATTACGCAAAAGTTCTATCATTTAAAGGCCATCATAATCATAAGCAATAGCCACCTTGTGTTTTCCTACATTACACATGGTAACCTAATGCTGCATACGGACTTTATCTTACCACCCAACTGACTTCATAGCAGCAGCATTGCTGATCAATGTGGGGGTAACAACGTGATCTGGGAGCAGTTTCATTTTCAAATTAGCAGGGATTATAAGTATTTGGTTTGGCACGATTTTTAGTTTTATGGGATAATGATACTTATGGCATTGAAAACATGAATGGAATTGGCAGATCATTAACTAATGGGAGAGAATAAATACTTTCTTCGGGCTTGGTCCACCTGCAATTAATTTGTGTCTTTGGGTCTATTAGCTTGATACTGTAAAACTCCACAGGATGCAGACCAGTGGTCATACTGAATTCGGCAGTTGAACCCTCAGTTGTGTCAGGAGTAATTGAAAAGAAAAATAAATATTGCAAAAGATTTCATTAGATCTGCACTGTTTCTATCATCCCATCTTATTCTCACCTTCTTGATACAAGATAAACTTTGACATCTATGTAGTTGCCTACCTTCGCTTTGAATCTTCGAGATTTAGTAGTTTACACTACAGGTTGCACCATGTTATGTGCTGCTCTAGTTATTTCCGGGTTTAAACTTAATTTTTATTTAAAAATAATTATTGATGGCAAGAGCTTCCTAGGTAGCTGAAGTACACTTGACACATGCCAAGTAAACTTTTTTAGTCGTACTGAACTGGGATGTGAGATTTAGAGAAAAGAATGCTTGTTTTCATTTATTTTCTCTTTTCTATAATTTGACTTGAACAATTTTTGTTTAAATATAGAGTGCGGTTCGATTTGTATGCATGTGCTTGTGTTTACATGTGTATGACAACTGATGGGTACAATTTAGCACAATGCTAACACCTCAATGCTAGTATAATTTCACTAAGATCAATCAATCTAAGAACTTTGTGCCAATGCTTACCCTTAGATTGTGGCACTACCATCAATCAATCTAAGAACACAATTACCTTTCCTGCAGTTGCAAAGCTGATGCATCACTGCCCTCCCGGAGCCTATTGCCGGTCCATCCACCATTTCGATGAGAGCAATTGGATGACATCCCATCAGAGACTCCGCAAACTACCAAAAAACAACCTGCATATGTTTCCCCTCCATTAGCCACATTACAGTACTAGCACTAGAATGTCACCATCCTCATCAGTGATCAGTTGGTGTCACACCACTCACTACCTTGAGTCTTGACTTACATTAGGCCTCCATCAGTATCTTACCTTCATTAATTTGTACTGCATTTCTGACCTACCATCACCATCACCTCTTTCAGGCCGAATCATAGCTCCAAATTTTCTTTCTTCTCTTGAAAGTCAATTTTAAGTAGACATGATTAGGTGTCTAAGAAGAGATGCTGTTATTTCCTCAAAAAAAAAAAAAAAAAAAAAAAGGAAAAAAAAAAAGAAAAAAAAAGAAAAGAAAAAGAAATGCTGTTATCATGCATCTCTCCATACTGTACGCAGTTTGAAACATATCATCTAACAATCTCTTCGCATACTGGTGCTTACTCTTTATTTGTTTTCCCCAACTATTGTTTGATTCATTGTTTTGGTGTTGGAGGATATGGAGTAACTTCTTAAATAAAATCATGAATTTTAGGCGAATAGCTCAAATCAAAGAGAAAGAAAGACGCATGGCATTGGAAGAGATAATATACTGCTTGATAGTGCAGAAATTCATAGAGAATGATATTTCAATGATCCCGAAGATATCAGCGACCTCAGATCCCACTGGAAGAGTGGATTTCTGGCCAATGCAAGAAAACAAACTAGAATCTGTTCATTCTCCTGAAGCATTGGAGATGATACAGAGCCACTTATCCCTTGTACTTGGAGAGCGACTTGTGGGCCCTCTTTCTTCGATCGTTGAGATTAGCAAAATCAAACTTGGAAAGTTGTATGCTGCTTCAATAATGTATGGATATTTTCTCAAGAGAGTTGATCAGCGGTTTCAGCTTGAGAGAACCATGAACACCCTTCCTGATGGTTTCACTCCAGATGCAGCACCAGCAAACCAGTTATGGGATCCGGATTCCTTGATCCGGATACCTCCAGACGGTGGTAGTGATGGTGATGGAGGTAGTTACATGAACAATGGTGACGACAAGTCGTATCGACTGAGATCCTATGTGATGTACTTGGATGCAGAGACTCTCCAGAGATACGCTACTATAAGATCAAAGGAAGCAATTTCTTTGATTGAAAATCAGACACAAGCACTATTTGGGAGACCTGACGTCAGGATTACTGATGATGGTTCAATCGATGCCTCTAACGATGAAGTGATTGCGCTTACTTTCTCTGGATTGACAATGCTTGTCTTGGAAGCTGTTGCTTTCGGATCATTCCTATGGGATGCTGAAACCTACATTGAATCCAATTATCACTTTCTCAAAAGCTAAATGTTTATTTATTTACGCCCGGAGGCGAGGCTGCTGCTTATATGTTTTAGAGTATTGAGCCATGGTGTAATGAGTTTCCTGTAAATATAATTGTTAGTCACCTCTTGTTACAAAAGTTACTGTCTAGATGTGTCGCCAATTTGACCTACTTTATCCCAAATGTAACTGCAGGAAAGATGTAAATAGTGATGCACATATTACCTGGTGCTTGCTGGGCCTCGGGCGTGCGACTCGACACCACCAATGTTGGTGATTTCTAGTGTCTTCGTCAAATTTTTAAGATGGCAGCGATTACACAATCCGAGTATACTAACATGCTATGTTGCACGGATATCAGTATAAGTATGAGAATACGATATGGCAATACGCCAATTATAATATTATATTTAATTAATTTTAGGCGACTTAGTTCTAAAATATAATACATTTGTTCTTTTGAGGGATCCTCAAATAATTATTTGAGGGACTCCTTTTGAAGCCCAGTATGAATTTTATTTTCACAATATGAATTGTCTATTTTTAAAATCTTCAATCAAAAATCATCCTTGTAAAAAAAAATATATATATAAATATATATATAATTAGAAAAATAGACAAATCAGAAATCGTTAAGACATCTTAGTTGTGTCCAACAAAATTGACGAATATGGTGCTTCAAGAAAATATAAAATAACAATCGTTTATTTGAGTGGACAAATACATCCAAATTCAAGTACTTTTTTGCAGATATTTTTAAGGGAATGAAACAACAGTATGTGTAATTAGACCCAACATCAAATGGTTAACAAAAGAAACATCTAAGATCTGATTGTAATTAGACCAAACATCAAGGAGTGCAATTGAAACTTCCTTCATGGACATCTAGAGCTTACCAAAGCAACTACCCCTTCTTTTAAACAAACGCTTAATTATTACACACCCAACCGCTCCGTTATTTAAACAAACTGTGACCATCATTTCACTTGCTCCGTATATTTATTTATTTATGTATCTTTTTTTTATGTATTTTATACCCCAATTGAGCTGCTCCTCATTAAAAAAAACAAAAAACAAAAAATTTGATTCGGTCAATTTTGGGAGGGGCAGGTTAGTTATCCTAAAATTTCGTGTATAAATTAAACTCATTATTTATAAAAATAAATAAAAAGCCAGCGGGTCTAATCCAGTGAAAAAGACCTTTGATTTGCAGGCTAGAAGTTTCAAGTTTGAATCCTCACGGCATCATAGTTGTATGTGTGGGTGTGTCAATGCCATTTTCAATTGAGATAGACCACGTTGGTGGCTTATAACGTTAAGTCATGTAATTAAGAGCAATTATCAATCCAGTCGAGGTCATATGTTAGAATATTAGTAAAATACGGAATGAGATAAGTGTAAATAAAATACATACGTGTTTTATTCAGCAGAATTTTTGAAAAATCCAAAAGAAAAGTTTGGCCACTATATAATTTTTAAATATAATTATGTGAAAATACGTGTATCAAACGTAAAGAATACATATGTACGTATGTGTATATGTATTTTACATTTGATTTTTTTTTAAGTGTATATTATCGAGTATTTTGATACATGTATGAAAAACGAAAATATGTATGTACGTATCTAACACGAATATTATACACAAAATTACTAACAATAAAAATACAAAATTTACCTTAGCAGTGTTTTTAGTCTCTTGTTTTATGATGGGCCATATATACGAAGATGTCATCAACCTTCTACTCCTACGCTACTCCCTCCATAGCCTAACAGATGTCCCTTTCCGGCGTCACATTAAAGGCTTGGGTAGATAAACTTAGCCTAAATTATTGAGTTTGATGATGGGAACATTTGGCTAAGCAGTTAAAGAAATCAAACTTTTTATAGGTAGCCTACCTATCGATTACGACTTCTTCTTATTATTATTATTTTTATTTTATTCTTTCATATACGCTAGTTCGGGCTCACACCCATATTTATTCTTGTATTCTGTAAGCTTAGCAAATAACAATTAATTAATTAATTAACAAATATGTCTATACTATATATAGTATACTTAGCTAAATACCAATATAGTATGAGCTTAATTTTAATGTGTACTCATCTCTTTTGAAGGATCAATATCTAAGGATACAAGTTGGCTTAGTGACTAAGAAAAGCTAATTACAATGAATTCTACTAATTACAGAAATCCTGATTATACAATAATCACCACAATCCTAGCCGTACTAGGAGAGTTGACTCACGCTAACAATATGTATAAAATACGCACATCTATTATTCGCTAAATTTCTTTAAAAGATACAATGAAAAATTCGGCCATTATATAAAAACTTGTAATTATGCCTAAATTTGTTTATTTGTAGATTTTTTAATTGTACGTGAAAAATAATGATAAAATACGCAAATAATTGTTAAATATTTGAAACAAACATTTACTGTTTGTGAAAAATATGTACATATGCCGTTAAGAGCATGCCAATAAAAAATAGAAAAAGTACGTTAATTAATATAATATGCAGTTAAGAGCATCCGCAATGGTTGTCTAATAGTTCAATGCAATGAAAAAAATACAGTAGTTAATTTATTTTTCAAATATATTCAAAATTGGTCTCCTTTTAAAGATCTCTTTGAGAATATTTTAATAATACAATTTTTAGTGTTATTAAATCTATTTATTTTATTTTATTTGATTATGTAATAAAAAAAACATATAAGAAATATAACTATTGATATGAAGATATTTAATTATACCATTGTAAGTAAAACTATAATTCAATTATTGCATGGAGTCATTGTGGATGCTCTTAGACGAATCGTTGGATGGAGTATCAGCTTTATTCTTTTAATTGGCAGAAGTGTTAGTTGTTATTACATTATTCCCTTGACTTGGAAAGCGAAGGGACCCCTCCAGCGATATAACTTAGGCACCGCATGAATTTGTAGTTGTTAAATTTTGTTATATATCTAATCACGTCGTACTGTTTATATTAATCATTCATTATTATGTAACAACCCGACATTTATTTTATAATAAAAGTTTAATGTATGCAAATCCTAAAGTTAAACATAAAAACAAATAATTCCGTAAGTTGTAACCACCAGGCACCAACTACATTTTGTCTATAATATCTCTTCGATGAAACCATGGATACATTGTGTTATCAATTCTTTCATGTTATTACATGTGTATTTATTTATTCATATTATACATAGGCCATGATATATCAATCATGTTGTCAACTCATATTATAACATATGTACTAGTATGTAACATAACGCATCGATGTGACCATCAAACTAGAATTTTTTCGATGTGTGCTTCCCCATTTCCCCGAGAAAATAAAAAACCCAGAAATCTTAGCCGCTCTCTCTTTCTCTCTCTCTTAGCCCCAAAGGATAAAATCAATAAAGGGAGGGGGAGGTTAGGGGGAAGAAGAATCGTAACTGCCCCTCCTTTTCCTATCCAATTTTCTTTTGGGTTAATGAATTCTTCCCTTATGGCGTTTTCAATAAGAAGCCATTTGTGGTGATTTCTTTTGACCCATACTTAGATCGAAGTTCGTCATCACCTATTTTTCCATGATTGTTCAATATATTTGTTCGCTGTTATGTGTAGTTAGATTGCTAAAAAACCATGTTTTTCCCAAATCGGTCATATATTTTGTATTTTCTTAAAGGTTAGGTGCGGTGGGTTTGACGACAGTGTTTTTTAAGGTGGTGGCTGTAGTGTTCATTTAAAGTTATTGGTGTGGTTTTAGAATTTTGGGTTTTGTGAGTTTTGCTTAAGATAACCATGCTTAATGGTAGTGATGTGGGTTAGGAGTTGTGTGTTCGACTTTTGTCCATTCTAGTTTTGTTTTCCGTTTAGACTTGATACTTTGGATGTGATGTTGATATATATATATATATATATTTTAGTACAAGCGATAGTGTCACACACACACACACAATTATGATATTATCGAGATTAAAACATAAGATCTTTGGTCTGCAAGTGAAAGCCTTTTTTCACTGGGCTATAAACCATTGGCGTGATGTTGATTTCTTAGTTGTACGAATATCTAATGAAGTTGCTCTATTTGTTTAAAATACGCTCTAGAATTTCTTCGATTTGATCACTGATGGCCAATCGGATAATATCCCAGCCAACCAAGGGCATTATCGTGCATCCTCCAATTAATTAGTTAAATAATTAATTCAAAGCCTGATCAGCAGCCGAGGACCATATATTCTGTCTTTCTTTTCTTCTCTTTCTCTTTCTATCTGTTTCTCTCGTAACCTTTGCATTAAATCCCTCTTGGCCTCTTGGTTTGGTGGCCTCTTAGCTCCTCCTCTTGCGAATTGCATATAAACAAACTCGGAGAGAAAGCAAAGGAGGTGGGATCGGATGAGAGAGAGGAGAAAGAGAGAGAATTAAAACAAAAGGCAATACAGATCAAAATTTGAATTATTACGAAGAAAAAAGAAAAGAAAATTATGGAGGGGACAATAAAACGTTGTAGATGTTGGTTTAATGGGAATTCTCTCTTTCTCCACCCTCTGATCATCAGTTTCTTAATCATATTCATGTGTATGGCTAATATTGGCAACGTGGACGCAGCTTTCAGTAACCTCACCACCATCCCCTTCAACCAAGGATACAGCCCTCTCTTCGGTGACGGCAATCTTGTCCGCTCCCCCGACGGGAAAGGTGTTCGTCTTCTCCTCGACCGCTTTACAGGTTAGTTGTGTTCATTTGCGCGTGCAGAAAAGCTAGTATAATACTATACAATTCGACCTTTATTCATTTTTTTCTCTCTTTCATTCTTCATATTGATTAATTTGGTTAATTAATTTACTTAAGGGTCTGGCTTCATCTCCTCTAACCTCTACAACCATGGCTTCTTTAGCGCCAACATTAAGTTGCCATCAGATTACACTGCCGGTATCTGTGTTGCCTTCTACGTAAGTTCTCTTATTATATTTTGGAAATTGGAATCCCTTCTGGTTGGGAAGAAATTGGGGGAATTTTATACAAAAATCATGTACTTTTTCATCAGTTTAGAAATTTTGTTGCCACATATCCTGCAAATTCATTAATTTGTTTATTTATATGATCGTGATCAAACTGAACAAACAGACCTCAAACGCGGACGTATTTGAGAAGAGCCACGACGAGTTAGACATAGAATTCTTAGGGAACACAGAAGGGAAGCCATGGAGATTCCAAACCAACGTCTACGGAAATGGCAGCACCAACCGCGGCCGGCCGCGGCGGGAAAGAGCGTTACCGACTGTGGTTCGACCCTACCAGGGACTTCCACCGATACAGCATTCTTTGGACCCCTCAAATCACCATGTGAGTTTTTTTTTTTTTCCATATTTCTATTATTAATATTTATTAATTTGCTTCTAGAATTTGTGTTCTTTTCTACATATATATTTTTGTTTTGCCTTCTTTTCCTATGCCATGTTTTGCTTTGATTGTTCCTTCTGTTTTGGGAAAGTTCTCGTATTCTTGTTTACGTGGTATGCTTTGTAGACTTTGTTGTATGCTCGTTTGACCTCACGAGCAGCCATACACGCTTTGGGATTGCGTCTGGGTTGCTTCTACCTTCTCGAGAAAAAGTCCAGCATGTGTTATGCTTAGGTCACAGTATGAATTTAATTAGATGGTTGATTAAATCAAATTATGGATAAATGTGATCATACTTTGTTTGAAATATAATAACAACCCAATATGTCACATCTAACACAAGAATAATTTTCTTTTATGCTCTCAAAGAAAAAACAAGAACCATTTTTATATACGTGCGCGTACACACACGATTATTTTGTCATATATAATAGAGAACTATATATATACACACACTAGTTTTTCATGTATTTTAACAAAATTGTAGCAATTAGAGACTATAAACATTTTTGTTATTTTGAACTCAATTTTGACTTCAAAATATTTGAATGAAACTGCAACAAGAAGCTCTTATTTAATTCATACTAGCCAGCGTGAGCCAATTGGTTTTTATTTTATTTTTTAAAAATATAAAAAGATAAGGATAGTTGTTTTTCATAAAAATAGGACTCTTTATCTGATTTTTTTAATATATTTTAATTATTTTTAATATAAAAAAGTGTGAATTTACTATATTATCCCCATTTAATTAATAATATTCTTAATGTTTGCATTAACCAATGACATTTTCTAATATTTTGAATGTTGATTCTCTTCCTTTTGCTTGATATATAAGGATAAAGAAAGCATCCTCCTATACTTTTTAGATGGTGTACCAAATTTTTGTTAGGCTACCAAACTGACCCATGCAGATCCGAAGTTTTCTATAAACCATATTGACTCAATCATTGCCTAATTTTAATTGAACAAATTGATTGATGATACCTCTCTCTCTCTCTCTCTCTCTCTATATATATATATATATATATATATATATGTATTAACTGATGAAGAAATATATATATATATTTTTTTTGTGGAATTGAATAATCAATCAATTTATTCAACTAAATTAATGCCATGATTTGTAAAATTTGTTCAATTAAATTAAGACCATGATTGACGTATCAATTTCAGATGATGCAATTAAATCTTCCCTTATAATTAATTAATTACTAAAAATTTGTTAATGTATCAGATTTTATGTGGATGACGTTCCAATTAGAGAGGTGGTGAGAAGGGAAGAAATGGGGGGTGACTACCCATCAAAGCCAATGTCGTTGTATACGACTATATGGGATGCTAGCAATTGGGCCACATCAGGAGGGAAATACAAGGTGAATTACAAATATGCCCCTTTCGTCGCCGAATTCAAAGACTTAGTCCTGGATGGCTGCCCTGCCGACCCCATCCAGCAAGTCCCAGCCGCTGAAGCATGCGCCGAGAAATACGCCCTCCTTGCCACCCAGGACTACTCCGTCATCACACCTCAGCGGCGGGCCGCGGTGCGCAGGTTCAGGCAGCGGTACATGTACTACTCTTATTGCTATGATTCGTTGCGGTATCCCGTGCCACCGCCCGAGTGCGTTACCATTGCGGCCGAGAGGGCGCGCTTTAAGGACACCGGCAGGTTGAAGTTTGGCGGCAGCCACAAGCGGCAGTCTAAGCGGAGAACCCGCAATCGCAATCGGGTCCTCCCTGATTCGGACGTTACGCCCTATTAACCTTTCGGTCATTGCCATTATATTTTATTCATACAACTCATGCATGCATGTAAATTCAAGCCTAGCTTATACCATACTATACAATACTGTAACTATATAGGTTGGTGGGGCGTCATTCCCTTTTTCTCTCTCCAAATTAAGTTCAAACCTTAATTTGTTGTCGAAAATTAGTATAAAAGTTAGCATCATGAGTTATATATGAGCAACCACTTTTGGTGGGGTCTTTTTTGGTTAGACACAAATTTGGTGTTTTCCTGTTCATATATATATTTTTTTTTGCGTTGGATTTCGTGGATATGTTACACATGAAATAAATTTAATTTGATGAGCGCGTACCTAAAAATAAAAAGTGCCAATCATTAGGTCGATTGATATTGTTTTAATATGATATCCAAATTCATATTTCCAGCAATATATAAAATTTGAGTGCTGTTAAACGAATCCTAAAATTAACTGAGTGCCCCTTACTACCAAGGTATTTATTGAATTACTAATTTACCCTAATAAAAAATGACTAAAAGGATATATGGAATTGTGAAACAAATATAATTTTAATAAGTACATCCTACTCACCATATTCAACCTAATCCAATGCAGAGAAGTTTTTGTATAATTTTAAGAGTCTTTGATGTTTCAAAGGCTTAGAGCTTCCTTACAAACATAGCAAAAGACAAGTGTCGAAAATTCTCCATGTACTTGATTCTTCCTAATGGAAAAGATGGGCAGCCATATTTGAATAGAAAGGTTTGTTCCAGTATGACTTCTTAGCTCAACATCATCAATAAAGTAAAGTTGAAGTGGATGACTTTAAAATCCCAAGGTTTAAACATTTCTTCTAACTTGGAAGCATCCAAAATTCTCAAGGATTTTGGACTTGTGATGATGCATTTCACTAGTTATTTGACAGAGATGTTGAGTCTCCTCAACATAGTTCACAGAAAATCACAAGGATTTACAAGAATCAAGCTTTGAATTGTAGGAGCTAGCAAATCTACTCCCACAACAGCTTACGAAATTAAAGATATTTTGATGCGAACCCAAAATTTGACAAGAGGGCCGGAATTCATGTAAAAAGAGAAACCCAGTTTAGGATTGGTATTAGGGTGTTGTGTGATAAAGGGTATTAGGGTGTACAAGGGTTATTTTTAGTAGTTAAATAGGGTGTACTCAGTTAATTTTACATTTTGATTAAAATATTAAGGTGCACTTAGATCATAGGGTGTACTCAGTTAATTTTAGGGTTAGCAACACTCTAAAATTTTAGGGTGTTATTAAACGAACCCTAAAATTAACTGAGTACACGTAATTACGATCTATTAACTGAGTACTCCTAATTACGATCTAAGTATACCCTAATATTTAAATCAAAATATAAAATTAACTAAGTATACTCTATTTAACTACCAAAAATACCCTGATAAGCAACAAAAGACTTCAACTACATAAGTAGTAATTGGAAATGAAAAATAAACTAAGCAAAGCACAGCTAAACAAGACTAAGATTATAGTCATGACTTATGAAACTAAGATGGACAAACTGCGATGAAACTGAAGCCATTGAATAGAGAAGTTCAGTTAGTTCATGGACTGTTAATTTTCTAGAAGTGGTCTTCAAAATCAGAGTAATATCTACACGATCATATTTCTTCAGTAAAATCAAAGTAATTTTAGAGTTCGTTTAACAACACTCAAATTTTATCATACCAAATTGTCTAACTAGAAATGGTTATCCAACATATCCATCGCATTCGAACTATTTTGTTTTTGTTATCTTTTATCCTTCCAGTCATGACATGGTCGACCTTCAGGCTAGGCTAAGCATGTGCCGCCTCCGCCTCACACTCTAAATCTCACTATGCATGTATAATTGGGCAACAAGAAAAAAAAAAAAAAAAATGAATTAACTGTATAAAATCCCAGAACATTGGGATTCATTTTAAATTGGTACCCACTTTTTGAAGATCCTACAAAATCATTCACAAACTCATTAAAATTTGCCACCTAAGGAATGGTTGTTGATAACCTCTTAATTTCGAAGCAAAAGATCAGCATTGGGATCTGCACTAGACTTTCTATGCACTCAACCACCAGGAACGTTTATCATAAATTGTAACCTTGATATGGTTGTGTATAACCTTTAGAAGCCAAGACCTCTTCAATTATTTTTCCAGAACCAGAAGTAATGATTCTGCATGTCTTAAATCAACAAGCCATTCATTCAGTTCACTAGGATATTCTGGAGGTAGTGGTGGGTTTTTTATTTGTTTGTTATGGGTGGATTAATGGTTATTTTATTTTTACCTTTAATACAGATTTTGCGAAAGCTCTCCAGCTAGGAGGATGAGAAACATGGATACATGCTTCGTGCTGCGAAGTTTTCTTGCTTCTGTTTGTATAATCAATCCTATAAACAGAGCACTTTTTCATTTTCGTTGATGTCTGCTGTAGCGAATGTATTTCCTTGTAATAAACAAATTACACAAAGTCCCTATTTATATAAATACAAGAAGTCTACTTAAGGTAGGAAATAATATAGACATAAATACAATTCTATTTACAGCCGTAAGCTAATTGCTAGGAGGAGATTGTGAGGTTGACTTCCGTGTGTGTTAAGAAAGGAAAGCTGCATTAACACCCTTCGCAAACTGGGCGTTGCAGGATGAACAAGTTTGGAAGACATGTGTTGATGGCGTGGTTTGTGAAGGGCCTTTGTAAACATGTCCACAAGTTGGTCGACAGAAGGAACAAAGCAAACTTGATGACTTCCTAGAGCAATCTTTTCGTGGACAAAGTGGTAGTCCAACTCAACGTGAGAGGTGCAGGCATGGAAAATTGAGTTGGCAACCATGTAAGTGGTGCTGAGGTTGTCACAATAGAGTAGGATTGGGAATCAAAGATGCACACCCAATTCATGAAGGAGTGAGCAAAGCCAAGTGGTTTCCGCACAGGCATGAGAGAGGACACGGTATTCTGATTTTGTACTAGAGCGCGAGACAGTGGGTTGTTTCTTGGAACACCAGGAGATGAGGTTGGTTCCAAGAGTAATCGCATATCTAGTGGTTGATGGACAAGAATTAGGACACCTTGATGTCTGGAGTACAGGGAGAGATGAGCTGCTGCAGATTGGGGAGTGAAGGTGAGGCCAAGATCAATAGTGCCCTTGATGTAACGAAGTATCTGTTTGTCTGCAACAAGGTGAGAGTTGCAAGGGGCATTCATGAACTGAGCAACGTTGTTGACATCAAAGGATATGTTAGGGCGAGTGAGAGTGAGATACTGTTAACTGCCAATAAGCTCACGCTACTCTGTTAGAGATGAGAGCACCATCAGAGACAGAGAGGAGAACCTTGGCAACCAAAGGGGTAGATGCTGGTTTGGAGTTGAGAAGATTGGTTTTCTTTAAAAGATCATGGGCATATTTGAGTTGATTGATGTTCAGAGTACCTTCCTTATTAACAACTTGTAAACCCAAGAAAAAGCTCAATGGACTAAGGTCTTTGATGTCAAAGTGGCCACCTAAAAGAGAGATGAATTGTTGAAGATGGGTGGGATCACTACCAGTTACCAAGATGTCGTCTACGTATAGAAGAAGAAAGATGGTTTGGGAGGCCTGCTGAAAAATAAATAATTAAGTGTCAGCTTGGCTCAATGAAAAACCCATAGAGAGAAGAAAGGTACTGATGTGATGGAACTAAGCGCGAGGTGCTTGTTTGAGGCCATGGAGTTCCTTTTGGAGCTTGCAAACATGAGAAGGACGAGTGTGATCAATGAAACCCGGAGGTTGAACCATATAGACATCTTCCTGAAGAAACCCATGTAGAAATGCATTTTTGACATCAAGTTGATGAAAACCACAAGAAACTACAAGACTGAGAATGGTTCGAATGGTGGCAAGCTTGACAATAGGACTAAGGGTTTCATAATAGTCTATGCTTGGGTGTTGATGAAAACCTTGGCAACTAGACATGCTATGTGGAGTTCAATGAAGCCCTTCAGAGTGGTTCTTAATTCGAAAAACCCATTTACACCCAATCAAGTTCTAAAAGGAAAGGAATGACCTAAGGACTAGGTATTATTTTTGAGAAGTGCATTGACCTCTTCAGTCATAGCATTACACCACTCAATATGCTTAGTAGCATGTGAAAAACAAGTTGGTTCAGTATGATCAACATCAGTTAATAAGGCACGGGGAAAGAGGTATTTAACAATGTCATCAGTGTGAAGCTTAGGCTTTTGAATGCCATCCTAAAGAAGGGTGTGCATGTGAGGAACATGGGTAGGCCCTGGGAGGTTTGGAGCTGCTGATGGAGGATGAAGGTCTTGTAGGGGCATGGGCTTAGTATGGGAACCAAATTGTACAGAGAGAGGCTTGTGCAAGTGGAGAGGTGGGGATATGAGGGCATTTGGAATATGTTTAGAGCATGGGTTGGGCTGGCGTGGAAGGAGGCTCGTAGAGTGGACTGAGGGGTGCTGCTAGGCATGGTTGGTGCTAGGCATAATTGGATGTGGTGACTACTGCACGTGGAAAGATACGCACTAGGGAGGTGCCTTAAGTGAGCGGGCCTTGGTCCGAGGCAGAAGTGGTCAATGTGGGCCCAGGTGATGAGAAGGGTAGAATTGGGTGGAATTCAAGATCCACATAATATGAAGGAGATGATACTTGTAAATGTTCAAATGGAAAATGTGTTTCGTTAAATAAAACATGACGGGACATGTAAACACGATTCATGGAAGGATGTAAGCAACGGTAAACTTTGTGGTGAGAATTGTATCCAAAGAAAGCACATTCAAGGGTGCAGTAGTGAGTTTATTGGCAATATAGGGTCCAAGATATGGGAAAAAAGAACACCCAAACACTCAGAGATGAAAGTATGAGGGACGATGTTGGAAGAGACGAGAGTATGAGGTGTCCCAATGAAGATTGGGAGTAGGTAAGAGGTTGATGAGATGGACACCAATAAGGGCAGCTTCGACCCAGAGATTGTGGGGAGTGTGGGAAGTGGTAAGGAGGATGCATATCATGGTGGCATTGTGGTAGTGTTTACGTTCAGTTAGGCCATTTTATTGTGGAGTGTAGAGGCATGAGAAACGTTGATGGATGCTTAGTTAATTGCAAAGATCTGAGAAAGCATCAGCCTATTCCATGAGCATTTTTCGCATCCCAAATTCCCTATGTAATGAGTTTAATTCCATTATGGCCAATTTCTGGTGGGGTCAAAAGGAGCATGAGAGAA